TGGTGCTTAAATCTGTCACTTTATTATATGTTCTCTGCTCACTCCCTGTTCCCAACTCCTCTGTTTCTCTTTTCTTGCCTGCCAGCAGGTTACTCGTACAGTTTTGTAGGGTTTTGAGCACTCTGCATTGCAGATACTTCTCAGTGGTTGCTGAAGCTATTAAGATACACATAGGCGACTTGGCCTCCTGGGGCTGACATATCCCTCTCCCCACTTTAACATGAGAATTGGTTTGTGCGTTTCTTCTGTCACCAGCATCACGGACGCTACGGGTTTTTGACCTCGAGTACGATTTCAGAAAAATGCGGGGACCATCTCTCATACTTCTCCCTGTTTTTACCCATGCCACCGTTCCTTCCCCTCGGGAATTCCAAGTTTTCCTCTGTTACCATGTCCCTCCTACTCGGGAGGCTTCCTTAGACGTGCGTTAAGGGTAGGTGTGCTGGTGGCAAATTCTCTTAGTTTCACTTCGTCTGAGAATGTCTTGATTTCCCTTTCATCCCTGAAGGATACTTCCACTGGCTGACAGTTCTTTTCTCTCAGAACTTGAAAACTCTGCACTTCATTCTGGCTTCCGCAGTTTCAGATGAAAAACTAGTTGTCACTCAGATCCATGTCCCTGGAGATGCTACAGTGCTTCTCTCTAGCTTCTTTCAAGATTTTTCCTTTGTGTTTAATTTTCAGAAGGTTAATTAGCAGGTGTCATGGTGTGGATTTCTCTAGTTTTATACTGTGAGGGCTTCACTCAGCTTCTTCAATCTGTAGTTTTATGCCCTTCACCAGATTTGGGAAATTTTCAGTCATTACTTCTTAAGGTATTTTCCCAGCCCCGATCCCTTTCTCCCTGTCTGGGACCCCAATTAAGCAAAGTCCCACACTGTGTCCCCTCATCACAGGTCCCCGAGGCTCTGTTCCTGTTTGTTTTCAGTCTGCTTCCCTGTGAGATGATTTCTATTATCTGCCCTTGAGTTCACAATTCTCTCTCTCGTCTGCGGTCTACTGTGGAGCGTATCCAATGAGCTTTCTATTTTGGTTATTGTATTTTCCAAGTGTATAATTTCTGTTTGGTTCTTTTTTTTAAAAAAAAACACATAATTTTTATTTCTTTGTTGAGGTTTACCATTTTTTCATTTGTTTAAAGAGGATGTGTAAGTGTTTGCAGAAGCATTTTTACGATGCTGCTTTAAAATCGTCTTCGGGTAATTCCGCCACCCGAGTCACTGTGGCGTTGGTGTCTGATGACTGTCTTCTCTTGTGCATGTTACAGCTGCCCTGCTTCTGGACAGGATAAGGGGCTTTTGCTGCATCCTGGACACTCCAAGCATTACGCTGTGAGACCTCCTCCTCTTTAACCTTCCCCTGGCGGCAACCACCCGGCTCAGGAGGAGGTGGAAGTCCCTGCTGACACGATGCTGCAAAAGCAGACCCTGCAGACAGGGTGGTGTCAGCTGGGCTCCCCACTGGTCCACCAACACCAGGGCTGGTGAACAAGGGCCGCCCCGCTGCTCCAGGGTGGGAGCAGGAACTGTGTGCCGAGCCTTCTGACTCGGGTCAGTGACAGGAAAGGTGACCAGCCCCCGCCATCGCACTCTGGCTCCAATGCTGCCCCAGAGGATCAGCTCAGCCCTGCTGACACTCCCTGGGCTGACACTCCACTGCCTGCTGCAGCCGGTGGTCACCGAGAGCCCTGCTAGCCCAGTGGCACTGCCGGGTGGGCCTGGGTGCTGGTGCCACGGGGCAGGAAGGGGATGGGTTTTTCCTGGGCATGTGGCTGAAGTGGGGCGGTGTTGTCAGAGGGCTTCCCCTCGCGGGCGAACAGGCTTTCCTGGGAGCTGTGTGTATCTTGTTGCTGATCCAGGCAAAGTGCAGCTGAGAAAACTCGGGAGCTCGCCGAGTCCCAGGGTCCTCGAGGCCACCCTTGAGCCCCTGCCCGGGCCTTCCTCGGTTGGTGTGATGCGCAGGGTTCTGGGTTGTAAGGGGAGGACCTGGGCATGACGCGGCTGCTCCAGCTGACCAGAACCAGAAGCTAAAGATCTTTTCAAAATCCAGCATCTGCACATCCTCTTCCGCATCTGATCTTATGTGTCTCTCCCCTGCCTCTGAAGAAGACCGGAAATTCATTTTCTTTAGAGAGAAGACAGCGGGCCTCCGGGCAGAAGGGTACCAGGTAGAGGGCAAAGTTGCCCGGGTCAACAGGGGACCGAGGGTACATCCCCACAGTGACACCGAGCTTGCCGGTCCTGTCCCCAGCTACACGCCCAGAAGCTGGCAGCCCAACCTCCAGATAGGCGTCTTCCCTGAAGACAGGACCCAGACGCCAGTCCTGAGGGCTCCCAGTGAAATGGCCACGTTCAACCTAGTGCAGCCGCAGGGAGTCCACCAGGCCCAGGGTGGGTCCAGGAGCTGCTCGATGCCCCCCCCCCCGCCCCGTGAGCAGATGGCTGGTACCACCAGGGCCTCGAGGAGAACATCAACAGGAGACCTACGCCCAGACCACCATGGTGACAGAAAGCAAGCAACTTAGAGGAAGCAGGCTGTGTGGACAGAAGAGAGCTTCATGAAGTCCAGGAGTCAGTGAGCGTGTTCTAAATATAAAAGGACAACAGCAACACTACAAATAGGGTCAAAGACGTTCTCATGGTGGAAAGAATTCAGAAAGCTCAACACGCAGGTGAGAGTTTCAGAGAAGCAGCAGCAGAAAACGGAGACGAGACGCCTCCCGAGAGGTGGGGATGAGAGGTGCCAGACGAAAGGCCTCTGGGTGCCCAGCACGTGGCGCAGACCGGGCCGCCAAAGCGCGTCTCTGTCACATTTCGGGGCGCCGGACGGCACACGGCTCTTCAGTCCCCCAGAGAGAAGGCACGAGGCGGGCCAGGACCCAGACCCAGAGGCTCTGCCCGGTGCGGGGAGGCTGCCCCTCGCACCCACCGCAGGGTCAGCGCAAGGAGTGGACAGACGGGGTCGTGGCCCCGGCTCCCCGCACGGTCCAGGCGGGGACCCTGTGGCTGCTGGCAGCCGGGCAGCAGGTGGGCGGAGGGGCCCAACGCTGGTTCCCGGCGTGCCTGCAGCCCGGGCGGAGGGGTCCTGCTGGCCAACCAACGGGCTTCCCGGCGGAGCTGCACGTGGTGCGGAGGGGCAGCGGGAGGCTGCCCTCAGCCTGGAGCACCAGGGTCTGGGGGCCTCACCCCGGCCGCGGCTGCCTTTCAAAGGGCACCCCTCGCTGAGGTCCACAGGCCCAGGCCCAGGTCCACGGAGGCGCGTTTGGCTTCAGGGCCTGGGTCGTGGGGGGTGATCGTGCGGCCACGTCCATGTTCGGCCGCGCCCGCTCCCGGGACCCAACACTCGTCTCCTGATCGAGGGCAGTGTAAGACCCAGAGCAGGGGTGCTCAGCAAGGATCCGTTCAGTAAGTTTTCTAAGGAAAGAGTAACAAGAGTCTAGCCCCTGGCAGTCTGGAAGGGGAGGGACGGGGCCCAGCACACAGCGCCATCCTCGGGGGGAGGGGGCGTCCCCAGTGCCCCCCAGCCCCTGAAGCGGGGGACTGCGCGCTGGAACGGGCCTGGGTGGGCAGGTGGGGGGCCCCAGGCAGCAGTGAGGGCACCAGAGGGCGGGACGGGCAGGCGCCGGTCTCCAGGACGAGCAAGTCTATCCAGATGCTAAACCCAGACAGCACCTGGGATCCCCCAGAGCCGCCAGCGGAGAAGCAAGAGCCCAGCCTTGTTCCAGCTGAGAGCCCTTCGGCCGCTGCCACTTAAACCTTTACTGAACTTTCCCCAGTGTCCTTCCTCAAGAGAGTGACGCTTTAAAACGCCACGTGCATACACTTAACGCGCCACACACGCGACACGCATGTTTAACACACACGCAACCTATGCACGGCAGCTCCACCTGTGTGCGTGACAAAGGCACGCCATGCCCACCCTGTCCTCACCCCCATCCTCGGGAGGAAGGGGCTCCCAGGTGCCCCCAGCGGGCAGGGCCAGCCCTGGGCCCCAGGCTCCCCTGGCCGGCCAGGCTTCCAGGGAAGGCCGCAGGGAGGGTGACGGACGGCAGGCCGTTGGGTTCACAGCCTTCCTCTGCACTGACCCCTTAGGCGCAGGCGTTCCTGGATCCGTGGGAGAAGGAGAGGACCAGGGAGGTGGAGGCTGCCTGGGTTTTCACTCGGGGGGTGGGCCCTGGAGTCCCTGTCGCCCTCCCGACCGTGAGGGGGTGACGGTGGGGCCACATGTCCCGGGACGCCTGTCCTCAGGGGGCCCCGTGCGGCTTCCTGGGAAAGCCGAGGATGTCCTCAGCTGTGTGGAGGACACTGACCCCGCAGTCACGCGTGCGATGCTGGGAAACCGAGGCACAAGGAACAAAGGGCTGACCGTTCAGACACGGAAGGCGGCGAGTGCGGCAGAGCAAGGGGTGCCAGGGGCAGGAGACCGCCCGGTGCGGCGGGGACCAGGAAGCGCTGTGAAGGGGGCGCCCGGAGGACCCTCGGCCCACAGCTTGAGGGCTGACCCCGCAGCGAGGGCTCAGCAGGTGCTGGCAGCTCCCCTCCTGCCTCCCCACCCGGCTCAGATGTCACTCCTCTGCTTTGAAACCTTGGACGGCTTCCTGCTGCTCACGGGAACACGGCCACAAGCCTCACCAGGGCCGACGGGTCTGGCCTCTGCCTGGCCCGGCCGCCCGGCCGCCAGCGAGCACGTCCTCCCATGTGCCCTCAGCCCCACGCACGGGCACCCACCCGGGAGCCCCCCAGACCTGCCCGGGCGCCCCTGCTGCACTTCGTGCTGCCCGTCGTCACACACGCACGACCGTAGGTGTGTCCCTGCAGACAGCGCCGGGACAGGAGTGGCCTGCCGTCTGCTGAGACAGAGGGAGGCCTGGCTGTCAGCACCACCCGAGGAAGGCGGCTGAGCAAAGGCAACACGGGGCAGCGGGGCTGTGAGCCGCGAGGACGGGAGGTGACTTGTGAAGACGACACCAGGGCGGGGGCAGCCCTGCGGACGGGACGTACCTGAGCGAGCTCACCTCCTCCCTGGAGAACAGGAAGCTCTGCTCGGCCGGGCCCGCCTGGGCCTTCAGCATCTTCAGCTCCATCTCCAGCTGCGAGGAAGCACAGGAGGGGTTGAGCGCGGACCCCGGGCCCCAGGAATCTGCAGGCGCACCCGCTTCCCTCTCCCCGGCGCCCCGCCCGTCGCCAGGCCTCCCGCAAACACAGGGCCTCCCTGGGTTTTCCTTCTTGTCTCCAGAGCAGCAACAGACACGGTCACAGGGGCGCGTGGGGGGACATCGAGATCCGGGGAAAAGGGGCCTCGGCGGCCAGACAGAGCAGGCTCTAGACGCACCGACGCTCTGATCGGCTCTGACATCTTGATACTTTATTTATCTTGTGACTTCAAACTCCTCTACAGGATGTCAGGCCACGCACAGACCGCTGGGAAGGGACCCACGGTGGGGGCGGTGTGGGGCAACGGCGAGGCTGGAGGAGAGCAGGGAGGAGACTCCCGCCCGCACCCACGGGGAGGAGCAGAAACGGGGCGGGCGGCCCCGAGCGGGGGCAGAGCACTCTCCCACACCAGCGCCCGCTGCCCTGGGCTCCGAAGGCCCCTGATGAGACGCCTGCATGCAAGGGCGCGGCGGGCCCCGGCAGCCGGCTGCAGGCTCGGTGCCACTGTCCTCACGCCGGGATCTGGCCGTTCTCCAGTCCGCCCTCGGGGCCTCCCACCCCGCACCAGCCCAGTCCCCGCGTGTGGGTCACCGGGAGGAGAGAGGGCTGTCATCGAGCTCCGCTCTTCCTGGCCTGCGCCCGGCCACCCGTCTGCCCGCCCTCTCAGCCCTGGTGTGCCGCCCACCACCGGCACCGGGGACTCCTGCTCTGCCGGCTGTCCAGCTGTGTCCTGACACCCCAGAGAGAGGCCCTTAACCTCCCACCCAGTTCTCCACCGAGCCCCTGAGGGGACAGGGGATGCGGGCAGGACCCCTCGTGGCGCCCACACTGGCCACAGGCAACAGCCGTGAGTGAGGCGGCCGGTCCCCGAGGCTGGGTCTATGGCCCCGGCTTCACCACTGTCCAGGCTGCATGGCTGACGACCTGCCCCTTAACCCGGGGCGGCCAAGAGCTCCCAGCTCACATCCCAGCACATGCCCTGCATTGGTGGGAAAGGTGTTGTGACAGACAAGCAAGGACCCGCAGCCCTGGGCAGAGGGGAGGAGAGCGTCTCCTTCATCTGCCCTCCCGGCCTAAACGGACAGGCTGACGCCTGCAGTGCTTCCTCCTGGAAACGTTCCCTCCAGGCCATTCTTGGAAAGGTCCTCCTGGGGCGACCTGATTTAGGAATTCTTGGGCCCCAAACATCCGGTCTTTATGATGCCCCAATTAGTCATCAGGTCCCTGGAGGAAACCCTGCCCCTAAATGGGACCAGCGCACACCCGGGAGCCCGAAGCCTGAGGGCTGGAGCGGACACCGAGCACAAGCGCCCTGCGGGCCAGCTCCCGGCGGACCAGCTCCCGGCGGACCAGCTCCCGGCGGACCAGCGCCCTGCGGACCAGCTCCCGGCGGACCAGCTCCCGGCGGACCAGCGCCCTGCGGACCAGCTCCCGGCGGACCAGCTCCCGGAAGAGCCTCGGCACAAGTGAGTTACACGCGGGTCCGCACGCTCAACCCCTACTGCCTCTCCCGGTGCCGAAAGGACGCAGCCCAGCGCCCGCCTCGCCAGCTGCACCCCGATAGGCGGTGGCGGCGCTCTCAGCTGGGCCCCCCGTCGGGGTGACGGCCCGCTTCACAAGCAAGCACCAAAGACGCCTGGGCAACGTGGCGTCACGAGCAGAACAAAACCGTGCGTATTCGAGGAGAAGTGACACCCACCGTGTCCAGGGGCCCCTCACCTCTACCTCAGAAGCCTGGGGCTCAGATGAAGCTCCTCCCAGGAGCCAAGCTGTCCTGACGCGCAGACACTGCCCTGCCCCTCACCCGAGTGTCCAGGCCTGTCGCTCCTCTCTGACACCACCAGGCCTCCTAGCTGGTGGCCAGTGGGTGGGCACCCAGGAAGCCCCTGCCCTCACTGTGTCCAGCCTCATGGCCACAGTCAAAGAGACCAGCAGAGACACGAACCTCACTGGACCAGGAAGACTCTCTCCCGGGGACATAGGGCCCGACAGTCCAGTCTGGGCTGCTCTCTCTCTCTCTCTCTGTTTTTGGGGGCGGGGGCTGACCTCTTGAGCAGAGGAGAGGCAGATACCCCCCGGCTACCACGTGCCCGCGCAGCAGAGCATGATGGTGGTCTCTCCTGGAGATGCATGGTCCCGGTGCCCTGGTGCCAGGCCCTGCCCGAGGCCCGGCAGCACCTTGTCCTGGATCCGGCGAACGCTTTGCAGCCTCAGGAGCTAAGGTTCAGGTGTCGCACGGAAACGGGTGCACGTGGAGAGGTCTCCCTCCAACTTCGCCCCGTCCCCTCCTGCAGCCTGCATCTCCCGGGCTCAGCTCACACATTCACCAGCTAAAAGGTCAACGCTCTTCCCTTCTCTTAAATTTATTTCTTGTTACAAAAATGGAAGATTTCCTACACCTCGTTTCGTACGTTGAGTTTTTCACGGAACACATTTGGAGGTATTTCCAGACTAGCACAGAGGGAGCTTCCCTGTTCACTTTCGTGGCTCCTGGAACCATCCCAATGGCCAGCCTCCTGCCGACCAACGTCTGACCTGCTTCCCACCTGGCGGCTCAGACACACCGGTCCCCACGGTGTGAGCTGACCTGCAGGACGAGTCCTCAGAGCCACACGTCTGCCTGCAGTTCCATCCGATGTCACCACAGCCCTGGGGTTGTTACCGCGCAACCCAGGGCAAAGCTGGCCTGCTGAGGCCATGTTGTGGTGAAGGACAGGGCAGTGTCTACTGCAGGGCGCCTGGCGCCGGGCCAAGCAAGGAGCACAGGCTGGTCGCGCTCAAAAGCCCCGAGCCCCCCCGACAGCTTCCAGGGAAGGGTTTTCAAAGACACCGTCAGGGGTGAGGGTTGCGGGTGTCTGATCAGCTCGTGGACATTCTGCAGATCTGTTGGCGGTGGTAACTGGGTGGTATGTTGGGAGCCAACATCATCGACCTTCTGCTTCCAACTGGTCTGGTGTCGACATGCTGGTGGTCAGCACGCAGCTAACTTCCTCTACCAGGCAGGGTTTTAACGTCTGCAAAACAACTCGAGGAGCCGGCCCAGGATGTTATCTACAGCCCTAGGAGGACCTAGAGGTCCCCGACTTCATTCCAGGGCTAACCTCTTATTATTACCTTGTCTTGACTGTTTTCCTTTGTTTCTGTATTTCCTCACTTTTCTGATTAAATTTGCGCTTTGGAACTTGGGGACAGCCTAGGAGGCTAAAGATCTTTTATGGACAAGAGGCAGGGGACCCGGTGGTGGGGGACGTCTGCCTCCCGGAAGGCGCGAAGCGTCCTGCTGGGTTTCAGGTTGGGGGCCCGGACATCCCTGCTTCGGTACAGAAAGGGCTCATCGTCCCCCAGGGACTCACTCACTGACTTCCTGTTTGTAACTGGGTCTGCTTCTGACGTCCTGTTCTGTTGACAAGAATCCTGGGACCCTTCCTCTCTCCCACCCCACCCACCCCACATTAAAATAAACCAAACAACCCTTTTTCACAAAACCAGGGCTGTGCAGACGGTGAGGCCGAGGCTCCAGGACTCGGCCGCGTGCAGAGCCGGCACGTCCTTCTCGACCCGCAGGCCCGTCCGGGGCCCTTCGTCTTTCCCCCTCTTGCTGTTGTACACGGGAGTACCTTCGTCCCTTGTCTAACTTGCTGTTTCTGTAGATACAGGACTTGTCCCATTTCTGCACATTAACCTTGTTGCCCACCCGTTCACTAGGGCCTCAGGCTGACGGCGAGGCCTGTCGGCCGACCGTCTTCACCCCAATCACGCCCTCCTCCACAACGCAGGCACCTGGAGCTCTTCCTCTTGTCTCAGGCGGATGACTAGTGTCTCCAGGATACCAAGGTAAGGTTCTAATACTGCACATCTCTTTTGGAGTCGGGATTGATAGGTTATATTTCCCTAGAAAACTATTCATTTCATTTAGATTTTTATTTTAAATGGAGTTGTGACATAATTCTTAACTTTTTACGGAGTTCACGTAGACCTAGTAATTCTTCCTAGGTTTATCTCTTACTTTTGTTTTCGTTTATCTTCCTTACTATTGAGGTGAAGTTGCACACAGGGCAGTACACACCTTGTGAGTCCAGCTCAATGACTCTGCCCGTCCGTCCCTGGGGAACCGCGTCCAGGTCAGATCAGAGACTCTGGCAGCCAGGACACGCTCTCCTGCACACACCCCCGCCCCGAGTCAGTAACTCCAAGCTAATTACTCTTATTTCTTATTTTGGGTGGTGATCTTTCTACTAATTTTTTACTAGGATTGTGAATAATTAATATGTTTTACTGGTTTGTTTTCAAAGCACAGGCATTTGGATTTGTTATTTCTACCATTTTTCACTTTCTCATTAACTTCTGCTTTGATCTTTACACTACTTTTCCTTTACTAAGGTTTATTCTGTTTTCCAAGTTCTTGAACTGGGTGTTTAATCCATATATATTCACTCTTTCTTGTTCAATAACATAAATGTTTAAACCTGTGATTTTTCTTCCGAGCACTGCTCTAGTTGTTTCCCACGGGCTCTGAAGAGTTTCCATTATGACTATTTTCTAGATTTTATGCACTTTTGAATTGCATATCATCTTTGACCCAAGCATTGTTTTAGACAGAGTTTTTTGTTCTATTTCTTTTTTTAGTTTCCAAGTGTTAGGAGCGGCTTCTTTTTTTAGTTGTGCTCTTAAATTCAAATTTCATCACACTGTGATTAGAAAAAGTTATCTGTCCTAGTTCTACCTATTTGAATTTATAAAGGTTTTCTTTATTACCTAATACATGATTAAGTTTTGTTAATGTTTTCCATGAGCCCTTTTTAAAAAGAGCGTTCTTTAGTTTCAGGGTTAAGAGTCGGGGGTGTGTGTGTCTGTCTCTCTGTATATATCTATATATCACAGACCTTGTATTTCTTGCTATTACTTATTCTTTGCCCACTTGCTCTATTGGGGATTA